CTGTCCTTAAATCCTGCTACCCATGGTTGTGCTTTTAGGTTTTCTTGATTCAGAAGCTCATGAGAACTAGGGTATTGACATTAATGCTGAGCTACGTAATTATCGAGGTTGAGCTATGTAATTATCGAGGTTTCTCATTTTTCAAGTGGTTTCTTTAAGGTCCATCTGAATATTAAGGATGCAAATCCAGCTCGTTTAAGATTAAGCATAAGCAAGAAATGCTTTTGTGCGTTCCTTTTAAAATATATGTTGTTATCGAAGGTTCAAGAAATAATGAAAAAATAATATGCAAATGTATGTGCCCACATTTATATGTTTTGAAAGTTTTAGGTGTTTAGGAATAAAAAAAGTCAAGTTATGTGCGTCGCAAGATTCAGACCAAGCAAAAAAGTAAAAAGTGATGACCAATCCAAACACATATCAAGTCTTGTACTTATTTGTTTCACTAAATGGAGTGACTTTTTTCTTTTAACACTTCATTTAGATTCTTGTCGCATGGACTATTTACTTTCTTATTTCCTTAAATCTTTAACAATAGTTGAGATTGGGCTTATTATGTAACCAACGACTTTGTATATTATGCAGTGGGTTGACTGCATCTCGCAACTATTGAGGATGTATCCATTTGCTTTTGAGTTTTCCTCGGTACATTTTTTTCATCTATACAAGCCTCTTGTTATTTGTTTTTTCCTGCAACCTGTCTTTTTCTCCTGGTCATAGAGCACCTTTTCTCTATAACGTCCGTTTCACTTATTTTGTATTGGTATTTCAGACATTTCTGGTTGACTTCTTGGACTGTGTGCTTTCTTGTCGCTTTGGCAACTTCTTATGCAACAGGTAAACACTCCACAAAACATTGTTGCATTTGGCTTCATAATATATAATTGAATCACAGCCAGCTTATGTTGAGACTCGATTCTGGTCTAGCTATTGATTGCAAATCTGTGATGAGTTAATGAATTCAATTAAGTAGTTTAAGATATGACGGGTCAACAATTAGATTGAAGTAAAAAAAAAAAATTCAGTTAGGTTGCTTTAAAATATGGAAATTTTCGTGAAAAATGTCCTCTCATGGGATACAAACATCCCATCTCACTTGTTTTTGTTTTAGTGTACCGAAATTCCTAAAAATTGTCATGAAAGTACAATTGGGTTCTAAAACTTCTACAAAGCACAATCAAGTCCTAAAACTTGTCACAAAAGTGCAATTGAGCCTTAAAATTTTCAAAAAGTGCGGTCAAGTTCTAAAACTTGTTGAGTTTATGCAATCAAGTCTTTCCATTAGCTCCGCCCAACTTGACAAACAGAAAATGCTAACAAATTTTAGGACTTAATTGCATCAACTTGACAAGTTGTAGGACTTGATTGCATGTTTTGAAGGTTTTAGGACTCAATTGCACTTTTGTGACAAGTTTTAGGACTTGATTGTACTTTTTAGAAGTTTTAGGACTTAATTGCATTTTCATAATAGGTTTTAGGACTTTTGGTGCACTTATCCCGTTTTTTTTTTTTGTTGTGTTGTAGTAAATATTGCCTGTGAGATTGTCTACAGTAGATTAAGGAGTGCTTACTGTCTTCTACCTTCTAATTCATTATAACTAATTCAGTGAGAAGGAGAGGCAGCAGTGCAGCGTTTCTGAAGCTTGTGGATGTTTGTGGGCTTATTTGACGGATTTACGCATTTCAGAGGGGAAATCTCATGTGCACTATAACCTCTTTTATGATCCATCAAAACATAATGGTCCACTGTTGCCTCCAGCTGCTGCTTTAGCCCCAACACTTTGGCCCCAGTTTCACCTTCGATGGGCTTGCCCCTCTGAAGCCCAAGCAGAGGAACTTGAAGCTCAATGCCGCAACATGGCTATGAAATTCTCTGAGTTGCAGAAGGTAATTTGTTTATCTCGTCTGCTGTCAGCATCTGCTTTTATATCTATAAATGCTTTTTGGTGATTCATTCTCTATGACAAGTTTTCTTCAACGATGGAAAACTTTAATTTGCACTTCATCTGCACAATTTTAGCACATATTTCAATGAAATTGATAAATACCGTTAGAAAGTCCAATCCACACCACTTGTCTATGGGATTTAAACGGACGTTATACTCATGTAGTCTCCCTCGACCAATCAATTTAAGCAAACCAAATTGAGAATGGCACGTGGAATCGACAAATGGTGAGGCTAACACGCGGAATAAATCTGGAATGAAACCTTGCTCTAACGCTATATTAGAATATCCAATCCAAAGCCTAGTTGATTGATGGAAGGAGACTATATGAATACATGCACAATTGAAACCCCATAAACTAGCGATTTGGGAAATTTTATTGCCACTAATAGTTTTTCTTATCAATCGTAGTGCGGCATCTTTGTCATTTTAATCACCTCAAATCATTAAAAGGGTGATTTTCACTCTGCTGCTATGTGGTAGATATACTATTGATAATAATTGTTTAGGGGCAATCAAAGGCCTATTTGTAACACAAAATAAGCATTGGAGGCAATTATGTAACACAACCTAATTCCCTTTTGTATCCATTTTTATACTACTCGGATGATTGAATAATAAAACATCAGTTCTCAGCATTTCTCGGAGAATAATTTGTGTTAGATAGTGTGATCATGTCCTAAAAATCTGATATTTTTCCTCAAGTTTAATTTAATTATGAACAAAAATAAGTAAATAATCAGCGTATTTAGAGTACAATAAATTAAAGATTAGACCGCAGAATGCATGAGTTAAAATGGTACATGCGTATATCGATGGAGACATAATCAGGTGAACTCTCTTATGGTCTCATCATCTGGTAAAACCACATGGGTGCACAACGCAACTTCCCTACCTATGTAGAACTTAGTGTGGACCTCAGTGATCGGTAACCTGTAACATTATGCATGCATAATGAAATCTCAGACACTAAACAGAACAACAATAGAATGAGTAACTATGAATTCTCCCACTAATGAATGTGGATACATCATGGACAGCAAGAAATTATCTTTAGGGTTTTCAGTGACATTTAATTGGACTTAGTTAACTGGATATTCTAAATACGTATGTGGGTTGTACTTCCATGCCCTTCTAGAGATTTACGGAAATCATAGCTTCCAGAATGGCTCAGAATTTTGAGGTTCAATTTCATCGCACCATCAGGTCTTGCAATGGACCGTCAGGTCTTGTGAACTAGAGATTCTTCCTTTGCTACCATACAAGCCTATTGTTTCTGGGGTATCTGGATATTAAAAAATTGTCTGGTTCTTCCCGCCACCGCAATGTCATCTTTATTAGTTACTCTGTACTGTCTCGTTAACAGGCAAAGGAAGTGACAGAAAGAAAAGCTAAAGAAGTGGCGGCTGCAGCAGAATCTTTAACTGCAGATTTACAGAGGGAGAGGCAACTGAATACTTATGCTGTGAACTTGGCCAAGAAAGCAAGCAAAGAAAATGCGGCTATCAAGCGTGCAATTCAGTCGCTGGGATGCAAGGTCCACTTTTCTGGAAATGGCGATTGCACAGTTGACATTGAAGCTAATCCCACAGTGAGCCCGCAAGTGTCTATGTATTCTTATTCAAAAAGAGAGTCGGATGATCCCATCCAACGCGATGAGAAATCCGACCTTTCTGTATCAATCACTGTAGTGGGCGATGAAGATCTTCCCAATAACCCAATCAATCGCGTTTGTGAAAGCTTATGCCCGATGCGCACACGGGATGGGGGCTGTCGGTGGCCGGATGCCGGTTGTGCCCAGCTTGGCAGCCAGTTCGTTGGATTGAGGGCGAACTTTGATGCGTTTGACCGGCTCTCCATCTATGACAGCTACTTTGACTCGGATAAACTATAGATAACGAGCGTAATGATTGGCAGGTGTATTTAATCAACAGGGAACCATTAAGAGAAGCTTCAGTGCCAGGCATTTGATGGAAAAGAGAGATTACTCACTTCTTCTAAGCTTTTATGAAGCCAACCCTAGTTCTTAGCGGATGGGGCATGGTCTGTGGGACTCTCTCTCTACCTACAGCTGAAGAGGACACATTTTGCAGCCTCCTCTACAGTACTTGCGATGCCCGGTTGATTCAGGTAGAGGCTAATGTATTCAACTGAGGTAAGCTATGTTTAATCATAGTTAGTTATATTTGCATCCATTGGATTAACATTAGCTTATGTTTATTTTTTTCCCCTTTTGCTAATAAGGTTAGCGTGTCTCGCTGCAGAATAAAGATTAGACTATGTACAGATCCTAAGGTCTTATTCTTAGGCAATTGATGTAGGCCCTGGAACAAACAATTTTGATAGTTAAGAGCTTAATTTTAAATTTTTTTATCTGGTGGCTTCATCTGCTTCTGCATTAACACATGCGGCGCATTAATGGAAAATCTATAATTTTCGAAATGGAGATGCGCCTTGCGATGCTGTAACTTCTGTGGTCCTCTCATTCTCGCGAATTTCGAATAGAAAGCCCAGACGCCCCTTAGCCCCCGTATAATTTTCGAATCCGGAGGGAAGGAAAATTAGGGGCTTGCATAACTTATCAATCCGGCAAAAGGGAAATTCCATAATTTTCGAAATGGAGATGCGCGGGCTCTCTTTTCTCGTCAAAAGTGAAAGGCATTTCGATGATGGAACTGGATTGTTTCCTCTTTACTAAAAGCTATATTGACTGCTCAGTCACTTGGCCAAAGAGGAAAAGGAAGGAGACAGAGTGCAGGAGCAGCAGCTAAAGTTGATAAAAGTCCAATCGACACATTCCACGGCTTTTGCCAAATAAAGCTTTGGTCGTTTCAACACGGACTCTTGAACGATTTCCATAAAGCTCTTATATTTTTCGAGACTAATAAATGATACAAAAGCACAGCGGTGAGAAACTATAAATGAGTGTCTGAGTAACCAGTGGCCATACTTCAACGCCCCAAAGAAACTGAATTCGTGAAAGCATTTCAAAAGACCAAATCTCATCGACGCCGAGTACCTGTCTCAGGAGGGAATATATACGCTAGAGCCAAGTTTTGAGAAAAGCCTTTCAGTTCACTAAACCATCAGAGGGTTTATACACTGAACCAAGTTATAAGAGAGGAGAGTATACAAAAACCACTATACCGCACAACATATTGAAGAAAGAGTGAGTGATCATTTCGCTAATGCAAAGTGGAATCATCTGGTGCGGCGTCTTGCGCATCTTCGGTAGCTTGATCATCGCTGCCCTTTCTGGCCTTCCTCTCTTGCCATCTTCCCCACACCCACTTCAAGATGAGGAAGCCTCCAAGCGCATAAACCTGCAACTTTCATCAATTAAATTTTCCTCCATAAATTGACGCGAGAAAGCAACGAGCCTAAAAGTAGGGTTTTGGATCTTCTAATAGTTCTGAACCACGACGAATAAGAACCGCATGGACAATGCGCCTCTTCTCTTCATTACTATTAGAAGCATGTGCTGAAACAAATCAAACCAGAAGTCTAGATAGAAATAGAAATCCTAGTTCTATTTATTTCTATAAAAGCAGCCAGCAAGAATCCGGTATCAAAAAGTGACTGCACAAGGGCACAAGCGGGACAATCAGTGAAACAAAGTAGATCATGAGCTCGTGCGTTAACATACCACTCTTTAACACATCCTCTTTAACTGTCCTCTTTAATTAACCCCTCCCACCTTCTCAACGTACTTGCCATCAAGATGCTATAAAAAGTAGGCCTCCAACCATCTTCATTACGGTATAGAACTTTATATAGCTAGAGTGACCTTACAATCTAAGTGAATTAGCATCATAAAAACACTACTACAAACATCACAACATTCAAGAACCTACAGCCAAGGGGTGCACATGGTATGGTTTCTACAAACATTTTCAGGTTTCGTTTTCAGTGCAATAAACAACAAAAGCACCTTTGCGGTGTTTACATTTTATACGCCTGCTTCAAAACATGCAGACTACGTGACAATAAAAAGAATTCCTACAAATATTAAATTTGGGCAAAGTTGTTTGATTATAGTATATTCACAATATATAAAACAGAAGAAGTTTTATAAAGATAATAGAAAAGAAGTTACTGTATCAATAGCTAAATATCTAACAAGGAAATCTCCTAATAATAGTATATACTTTCACATGTTTTGTTTGACTCCTTCACTTTGTTTTTCCTGACAAGTAACTCATACATAATAGTCATAGTCAGCTACAGAATCTGTGTGGAGCTTCGTCTGAAGCTTCAACAAGCCTTGACTGAGGCTAGTCCAAGCTTCAATAGAACCTGGGGAAGCCTCAACCAGCCACAATTGCAGCTGGACCAAGCTTCAGTCAGCCTGGGAACCATTGTTTGTTCCGATCCTTCACGTGTGCAGTTCGTCCGTGAAGAAGACCGCACTTTGTGACTCTAAACCACTAAATAAAAAGACGGTTGTTATTTCGCATTCGAAAGATTGAAGACACAAAAAAACCTGTTTGCTCTTGTGAGCTACAAAAACATCCACTTGCTAGTGTTTTCCTTCGAAGACTGTTTAAAAAATGACAGCAGATGTGCTTATAGCCTCCAAGCGCTTTCATTCTCAATGAAAACAAAAAGAGAGAATTTTGATAATTTTCTGATTGCGAACAGGGCCCTAGTTCGTCATGCTCTTAGTCAGTGTCTCCATCAAAAGAACCTCACCACTATCTAACCTCACGACTAAATACCCGAGTGAACCTGTGACTTTGCGGGATTAACATGAAGGCAATGAGGGGCACACTCATCCCTCCCAGACGTATGATCTGGTTAATTTACATCCTCACTGGCCAATGCAAAAGAACTTTCAAATGACATTTCTCTGCCTGCCATCATTCACAGCCCATGATGGCATATATCTCTCTCATAGATCTTCTAAGGGACCCAGAAAAGTCAAGTAGTTAGCAATTTATATGATTTCTCTCCAGTCTTCACATTTCATCATCACCCATTGCCATCGAAGCATTCGCGAGCACCCTGCAAATCAGTAATTCCACAGGCAACAACAATTTTATTCCTGACACGACAATTAATTTGTCCGAATGGGAAAAAGATCGCGATTTGTCTCATAATTGACACGAGTGCTGATAAATTCCTGATCATGCGTTTAAAGAGACCATCGAACCAAAACTCGTTTCACTAAAACATTGTCAAACAAGCCTTAACAGGACAATTACTTTGAAACATTCCGAGCAACCAAACACAAAACCCATCAGCCGACATCCGCGTACCTGCCATAAAATCACGGGATTCGAAGTCTTCCCGGACTCTTCCTCAACCTCGAGCTTCAACGGAGGCGGAGGTTCCAACGACTTGTGGGGGAACCTCACAACGTCGGGCTTCTCGCTCGTGCTCCCGCCCTCGCTCTCGCCGCCGGCCGGTTCGGGTTTCTTCGCTGGTATGGGCTCCTTCTTGCGGAATTGAAATGGAAATTTGAAACCAAAGTCGGGGAAGAAAGGGAAGGCATTCTTCTGGTCTTTGGGAGCTTCACTGCTTACCAAGATCCCATTTTTCTCAGCCATGTATGACCCAGAGAGAGCGAGAGAGAGAGTGGAGAAATTTGGTGGATTTGGGTGTGAAACTTTTTTGGCAGAGGCGGAGAAAACAGAGAGATTTATGGGATTTGAAGAGGGTTCTTCTTGAAGGCGCTCCTCTTGCTGCTTTAGCTTTCTCTAGAAAGCAGGAGTATTTGTAGCACAGCTAACCATAAAATTGATAACGCTGTTAGCTGTTGTTTGGTTTTTTCTTCGTTATGTTCTTTTTCTTTTCCCTCTTTTAAGATTGGCGACTTGTTCAATTGATCCTGCTACTTCGGGAAGTCGATAATCCTTGAATCAAAGAGGAATGAGATCTTGCTCATTGATTTATTGATTTTTGTTTTTGTAGTTATCTTACGCGTCATCGCATTTCATATGAAAGCTGCAATCAAAATATATACGGTTACGATACGAGAACTAATATCTGGACGGACCGTAGAAATCCTCTTTTCATAAGAGATTGATATTGATTTTCTATTAATCTCTCCCTCTCTCGTTTGGGGCGCATACCCTAATATAAGTGTACAATATGAGGCTGTCCTCTCCCTATTTTGAGACTTATACCCTAATATAAGGGCACGATCTTGAATATGAAGTTGTTGCGAGTTTCCTCAGAGTTAGAAGAGAGAGAGAGAGAGTCGTTGTAGGTGATGTTGGCGTCCGAAGCCGTTATGTTTTCTGTTCGTGGTGGTTGTGTCGAGCCTATTGTTGCTAGTGGTGGAAGTGGACGACTCTAGAGGTGGTGGTGTGTCGGACATGTCCGGTGGTGATCCCCAAGTCACTTGATGATGGTCCTCGCCGAGTTTGAGAGTACTAATGGCGGTACTGACTATTGAGTCTAGTAATGGTGATGGCCAAGGTGGTGGTGGTGGTGGTGGTGGTTGAGCGCACCGGTGTCATGGTAATTTACAGTGTTTTTTTTTAAATGAATAAAAAAAAAATAGGACAAACCCAAAATCGTGGCCCGGGCCTATTCAGGCCAATCTGGGCTTTCGGGCTCCCGATCTTTTTTCCTCACCCCTACCGCCAATGCTGCACGAGGAGGGAAAGTTCCCTCCAACCACAAATTAAGATCAATTTAGAAATTTTTTCCTAGTTCTATGAAGATCATACTACCTTAACAAACAAGATACCCAGGTATAGGCCACTCAGTTACTACAACAATATTTATGTATAAAAAATAATCAAGCAGCGAAACTGAGAGATCGTATTCATGTGATAATATCGTGTGCAATACGCACGTTATTAGGTTTTAGTAAGTAAGAAGATGAAAAGGGAGGACAGATCATGTGAGCAAAGGACAACTAACCTCATGTGCCATCAACACACGTGACTCTGGTCTTCACCAAAACCGACCAAGAATCTAAAATTATACTCAAATCTCCATGAATTCCGAGCCAAACATTTCTTACACGTATGTTAGTAATATTTTCATCGCCCCGCAAAAAATAATTAAGTACAAATTATTATCGATGATTAAAATATTTTTCATTAACTAATTTTTCTCGGCAATATAATCAATCATTTTTCGAATAATATTTTTCAAATATTGAGTTTTCCGTTTACCCTTACTGTCATTTCCCCGTGTTATCACAAGATACAAGATATACTGTGTTATGAACTTGAGTCTGCCTCAAAACACCGAACCAACTGATCCCACGTTCGACCAAAATAAAAAAAAACTGATCCCACACACGTACTTCCGGTCGATCCGGCTTCCACCAATGGCACCAACAGAGGTAGAGAAAGCGGCCGAATGATCGGACATTATCACCTGCTGATGTTCCGACATCGAATGTGCGAAACATACAGAATGACATGTAGAACGATGAACCAAGAGAGAATGTTTTCATGACATAATTATATCCTTAAATGTAGAAGAACCAAGACACATTCACATTCCAACATATTTCATAGTATCTTCCGAGTAACCCCCATATCTTCAGAAACCTCGCTCAGTCTGTTTGAAAAGAAAGAAAGAAACCACGGGAAAGAAAAGGAGAAAAACTAAACATGAGGAAGGAACAAAACAGGCAGTGTGGAATGAGATTTTTATTCCTGGAGCTAAAATTTGAAAGCCCGAGTCAGGTGCCGCAAATCATTCCTCGCCTGGATAACTTAATTCCCTCTCAAGCGAGTTGGGTGCAACGAATCGACAAAAATTTGATCCTTCGATGGGACTAGCAAGGGGGTTCAATGGAACATCGATCCCCACATAAAGTAGCAAAGATCGTCCCGAATCATTCTAAACAATCTAGGAAGTGAAGCCACTGCTTCGGTAAGATGATGAAGCGCCCGACAGCTGACTAGGGCATTTTCCATGCTATTACAACATAAGCCTTCGCATGTCGCTGAAGTTCAAACGGAGAGCCGAAAGAAATGCACCTGCAATCACAAACGAACCAAATGAAGACGCCACAAATTTTCAGCAAAGATAAAAGAAACTGGAAATTAGGCATGCATTTACCACTCTAGAATGCTGAGTCCAGAATCATATTCTCTACTGCCAACAATAAATTTGACAATTTTAAAATGGGAAAAATGGGACTTGTTGAGCAACCATTGATGATCATGAATTCCAATGCACGTGGCGAAGATGTAAGAAGAGAAATGAGTGACATCTACATATGGGTCTAGAAACACGTGAATTCAGCAGTGTGGAACCAGCTACAGGAATTGTAGAAACATGCGGTCCATCCTTGATACAAGGGAGAGTTAAAAAATAATATATGCAAGAGTTATCACACTATGATTAGTGAGAAATATGGCACTGTATCATTCAGCAAAAAGTACCTCCGACTTTGCCATCAAATACTCGGTGATCAGCAGATAATGTCAAGGCCATTTTCGTGACAACTGCAGGACGCTCGACCCCTGAGCAGCATGTAGGTAAGCTTAGGTGAGTCACCTTAAACATGCACAGTACGGAGAAAAGTGCAGTTTCAGTCAATAATATCTTACCGTCGCTTCCGGTTACTGGTTCAACGAATTTATTTCCTCTCCCAACTGCAAGTATACCAGACTGTGTGGAAAGAAGCACAAGAATTTGTAAGAGGTAATAACATCTAATTCTGATCAAACAGGAGCTAACTATCGTAAGATTCACCACAGCCTGCACATATGATAGACGGATGCACACAAGTGCAGAAACAAGCACACTACGCACATAACAAAAGGGAAAATGAAGGAGAAAAAGGTTCTGCAAAATCAACAAATCTAGGGTACTAGTTTTTCTTACTTCCTCTTTTAGTATTTTTAATTCCTAAATGATTTTAAGGACTAAGGCTTTTCATCCAATTGGTGCTTTATTTATCCAAAGCAGAGGGAGTGTCACCGCTCAATGAAACTATAATCTAAGCAACTAGCTATCCTTCAAAAGTATACACTCTCATAGCGGGTGTGGTCATGCATGAATTTTTTTCCATCAATTAATCTAGTTGTTCTTACTTCCTATTTTAATCTGCTAATTCATAATTATTTAAAGAAGTAAATCTTTTCATCCAATTAGTGTTCTTTTTGTGCAAAACTGAGAGTCTCACCGCTCATTGACACTTTAATTTAAGCAAATAACTATCCTTCAAAAGTATACACTTTCATAGCGGGTGTGGTTGCACAAGAATTTTTTCCCATAATTTAATCTAGTCTTACTTCCTCTTTTAATTTTGTAATTCAAAACTGAGGGAGTGTCGCCGCCCATTGACACTTTCATAGAGGGTGTGGTCGTGCATGAATTTTTTTCCCATCATTTATGGATAGAAAATAATCTAATAAACAGAAAAAGGCAAAACACGCATTCCTTCCATTAACATATATGGAGTATGGAACACAGACAATGCATGTCGACACAAGTAAAAGAGCAGAGTTGAATAACCCTAACTAAAAGATGTTCAATAATAGTGTAGGAAAATGTTATCATGTGGTATTATATCTCAATTAACTGTAAATATTTATCCTTTTTAAGGCACTTTCTCCAACTACGCACATATATTCGAGATTGTCATCAATTGTGGTCAGTCAAGTACATGCTTCTCAGCCAACGTGTGCTCGAGTCATTCTCGATGGAATTGGAATACAAATCGATTACCAATTAATTTAGGTTTTATATGTATTCTTAAAAGTCATGTATGCTTTGATGCTTCCACAAAATCAATAAACAACAGTAATTGAACTATATAGCAAAGTAATTCTCATAAAAGATTTAATTACCTAAATAATCTGTCCTGAAGGAGTTTCGTAAAATTAATTCTAAATTTGAAAGAACCAAACGCTTAAGCCTTCCAAGAAAGGGGGGGAAAAAGGAGGACATGCATGATTTTTGTTTTAATTTTAAACCCAAAATTTCGACCAGCACATCTGCTATTTACTGAGGGCGGCAAAATTACTAGCACATTATGGCAGCATCCATGCATATTGGAATGAGTGAACTAGTGAGAATGTATAGTACATACACTCAAATGTGCAAGGCAAATAGGAATACCTGTGGGGGGTTGATAATTGCACAAAAGTGGTCCACTGGGAACATTCCCAAATTTGAAATGCTGCAAGACAAACAGTTGCTCTGTTGGTCAAGCATGAGTGAGAAACTGAAATGCAACTTAACAGCAAATTATAGACATCTATAAACCTGAAAGTTCCTCCTTGGAATTCATTTGGCTTTAGTTTCCCTGCTCGGGCCTTTTCAGCCAATTCCTTCACCTAAATGTAAGAGACTCACAAACATTATATGATCTGAACAAGAATCGAGGTCAACAAGAAAGAAATAGAGAATGAAAGAGGAACCTAAACATTCCAATGGTTAATATCAACCTATCAAGTTATAATTTCAATATCTATATCTAGATAGTTGCCGAAACTTGCAATTCTGGTGTGAACAACAATACAACTAAGATAATGATGAAGTTGCATCATTAATTGTCAACAACATTAAATGAATATTCAATGCTTAAAAGGAAGATAATAAGTTTGTCATGATTTAACTGGCTAACGATCCAGTACACAGGCATCACTAGAAATTAATGAAACTTTTGAATTATTCTACTAAGTACCTCTGCGGATATTGAAGATATGGTCTTCTGGTCTGCATTTCTGACAATTGGAGTCATTAAACCCTGTAAAATGAGCCAAACAGGATGAATTTTATGCAGAGGTTTACAATGAAGATACAGAAAAGGATTCTCACTCAATTACCTTGTCAGTTGCGACCGCAATTGATATATCAACAGAATCACAGAGAATCACCTCCCCCTTGTCAGTGTCCCAATAGGCTGCCATGAATCACCCAAAAAAACTTAATTTATATATGACAGTTCTCTTGTTCACCAAAGAACTTCCTAATATGCAGACCCATTTTATCCTTGATGTAAAGTGGCAACATGACCAACAAAAAAGTTCTATATCTCAATTTTGGCTGAACCAATAGTTATTCTTCTCTATAATGTGGATATACAGGACATCAGTGGGTTTCAAAATAATAAAAATGTTACCCAAAGTTCTCCATCACTTTTCTACATAAAAAAGCATTTCCACAGACAAAGACATGCGATATTTACTTTTAAAATCTATACCCATGCCCATATTAATCTGGGAAACGCAAAGCGTATAAATTCACAGAACATAAAGTCCATAGAGATGTAAAAGATACTCCCACAATCATTGTTGGATGGTTGACAAGTGTGAGAATTTGACACCAGCAATGGACCTTATACAAATCCATGAACCCACCCAGAACAAGACATACCAAAATTGAATGTAACTACATGTCAATCCAATGGGTACTATCTATGTAAATTCAAAGACAAACAACAGCCCAGCCACTAATGCTGTAAACTTCACTTATATGAGAAACCTACAAAAGCAGCTGAATATGGTTGTTTCACTGCCAGTTCAATCCAATGGTGAGTTCATCATAAAAGTCCACAGAAATTCTCTCCCCTTTATAGCTTACATAATCTGTGAGAAAGTACATGAATATGCTCCTTAATACCTCCAAATTGAAAATCTTCCATATTCAAACATGAACAAGAGGAATCTAGTGTTATGTTAGGTCCTACGATCTTATAGAAACTTATTTGTGTCAGCTGTCAAAAAAGCCTCAGTTGGTGATAGACAAGACCAATACTATGACAGTCCACCATTCAACCAAAAGTCTGAGAAGAATACTAGTGACTACTCATAAAATGCATCAAAAAGCAGTTTTTCACTTCCCAAATTATTTCATTACTGTGCTATATGTGTCTCACCATTTGCTTCTGGTACATTTCTGAGGGCAACGGATACAGCCTTGATGACAATGTCATTCACTGAGACCTTCACATTATGCTGCTCTGGAAAGGTGGAAATGACAAAATTAGTGAGAATGAAAAGACCTGTAAAAGCTGAACAAAACAAATGAAGGTGGCTTCTCGAACCTATCAGCTCTTTTCTAAATGAAAGTAGAGGATCCAGTGCAACATCTGAAATACAGAACGGAATTTCAGTTTTATGATGAATGAAAAAAGGACATGTGCAAGGGAAGCAGACAATATCTAACCAATAGACAAGTATAAATGTGGTGTAGTCTGCTTCGACTCCAATAATCTTTTTGCGATAACCTTCAAGAAAACAAGATTATTAGAGCACGGCTCGAAAAACTACTACTTTGAGCACCCCGAGGGGGAAAAACAGAATGAGAGAAAAAAAAAGAAAAAAACCTTACTATGATGGACTGAAACTTATATTCCCAATATCTATTATCATCAGCTAAATGATACTCTTCTCCTCATGAGAACACCTATCTTATTTCGTGTCATACTCGTACACGTTATTAGTTGAATCACCACTACAACACAGCTAAAACATTAATAACAAGAAACCCAGAAATATAAACTACAATGAATATAATTTCCAGCCTAATTCCTTAAAAAACCCCAAACTTTACATCCAGTCCATATTTTGCCCCGAAATTTTTTGTTTTATAAAAAATTCCCAACTTTCACTAGTCCCAATTTTTTTCTAGAGATGATAAGATTTATTTCTTCCAAATTCTCTTGTATATACAGATGGGCAACTTGTGGGTGCTTTATTAGTGAGCACTTTCTCACCAGTCAAAGATTACTACAAAAGATGAAACGCAGGCATATTATGTTACAATGACATATTTTGCAAGTCGCTTATTGAAGAGCTTTCTTTTCGTATGGCCGTATTGAATGCCGAAAGCCAGTCATATCAAATTGACTAGTTGTTATCCATTTGTTTGTCTAATAACTACTTGTTATCCATTTGAATAATCTCATTGTAAGCTGCAGATTAAGGTGTTATTTGATCTTCCATAGACAAACTGAATTATATAGTACTAATCAAGTCAAGTCAAGTCAAGGAAGTGATGAAAGGGCATCAGAGTATCTTTGCCACTTTCCATTCACTCTGAACAGCTATTTATTTTGTTGTTAGTGTAATATGTAATAGAATAGCCAACATATATTGATCAGTAGAGTACACATATTTTAGAAAGATAGAAGGGCCATGATATTCTCTACCTGAACATGCTTGGCAGATCTTGACCCAAATGGAATCACATAAAAACAAAAGCAAACACGAAAAAGTAGAACCTAACTCAATTCCAATAACAGTGATAAGAATCCAACCTTGCGAATCTGACTGTTTGGCAGATCTTCAAAAGAATCTGACCGCTTCACGTGAGCACTAGTCTCTGCTATTTTGGCTGTTGACTTGGGGGAAGTCTCGATCGAAGGTTTTTTATCTTTGTGTATGCTTGGAGATACTTTTCCAGACTTAATCGCAGCTAGAACGTCTGCTTTTAGCAAAGTGCCATGGGCACCTGTTGCCCTCAATGAAGATAAGTCCAGTCCATGCTCCGCAATAAGCATTTTTGCAGATGGACTGATCCTTGAAAAAGTAGATTTGCCCGGATTAACTTCAGCTCTCGGTTTTTCATGGATGGGCTTTTCTTCCTGCGCCAAACCACTGCCAAGAGAATTTTTCACATGCTCGATATCATCTGGATCTTCAACCTTGAAAAGGATTGTGCATTAGCATTTCGATGTGTCTCAACAAGATAAAGGTTATAGGGAGAAAATAGACTAAAGTTCGAAGGAACCAACATGAGAAGTATCTATAATCCTAGATAATTGGGGATAAAAACATATAATGGTATTTGCAACCATGACTTACTGTTACTGCAATTGGTTGTCCAACAGGCACATCCTTTGAACCTTCTGGTGCTAGTATCTTGGCCAAGTAACTAAGACCAGCATAATTTCAGGAAAAGTATGAGCAAGTGAAACCAAAAGGCACAACAAGTTCTTCAGATCTTGCACATTCTTATTAAGCAAGAGACTACAGCATTTAGTAACTTCCACAAGTAAAAGTGCAGATAATCTCTAGATTTGAATATAAAGAAAAACTTCTCAAAAAAGCTGTGGCTCATAGCAACACACAAAGTTAAACAAAAGATTTAAAATAATACACTTGAACAGTAACTTCCCCATCAGTCCTGCGCTCTCTGGTTAAACATCCAAAGGCACAACAAATAAACGTGCCTAAAAAAAGTCATAAACTGATTCTATAATTCATCAAAATTAAAGCCTCATACACAAAGAATTTTCTGTTTCACTTCAATTAAAAAGGCTAGGACATAGATCATGTATGTTTTTTGCCAGATTCTTTACTCTTCAACAAGATTTATTTATTGGACTTTCCATGCATGCACACGCTCTCATGAGGGAGTCAGACAGAGATTTTATCTCTGATGAGCGACTGAGTAATATGTGACATTATCATTCATTAATCACTTGTGCCTTAAGCATTGCACAACTACCTAATTTTACCTTTATCAAGGAGCAAGGTTTTAATTTATGCCAGTCAATTTCAAATGCATGAGATCTCGAGCAAATCCAATCCAGCATCGACCCAAAAAGGATCAGTTTACCAATCTATTAAAAATCAAAATTGCATTGAGAATCAATCCCATTTAACAAACTCATTTTGAGAGACTCACCACTTTCTACCGGTCATCCAAGTCTTGAAACCAACACTTGTAAATCCAAATAAATCCAAAACCTCTACTATCAACCATCTATTCTTCATGGGGATTAGAGAAATTGAAGTTCAATCAAGAAGCTCCAGTTCACATGAACTCAGCTAACATCCTCAATATACACTCTCCACGGCTTCATTGTCAGGCTATAAAAAGGGGATACAAATTAAGACTACAGATCCTTTTCATTTTACATATAATAAGGATGGTAATTTCATCATCTCCTCTTCAATTTAAATGTCAAACTGACAGAGTCTAAACAGCTAGACCAACATGCATCAATAATTTTCTGTCACTTCTGCACTCTACGTATAGAGCATGCAGAGAGACTCACAAAATCATAATTAATTCATTAAATAACCACCTACCAACTAATTCCTAAACTACCAAATATACTCTAACATAAGCATTTGCTCAATTCCTAAGTTCCAGTTACACTTCTCTCCCGTCTTGTCTCTCATTCCCAGACATCCATCTCTATTCACTGTATCAATTCGTTAATTCTATTGAACTCTATTCAACGGAAACCATATAGTGCAACTCTGCATATCTATTTTATAGACATGACGAAGAGATGTTCTGTGGTTTATGTCAAAGATCTATAGCTGAATTGGTATAAATTGGATATGCATTTAAAATATTCTCTCTCATACTTCCTGACCAAACTAATCTCTCTCCAAGTTCTGCCAAAATCTCCTAGACATCTTTTTTGGCACCCCATATTGTTGCAAAGATAGTACAAAGGAACTTCACAGGTTAAAGATGGAACAGGAAACTGTTGAACAATCAATAACAGCCAATAGATGACTAAACTCAGGCAACACTGTCGCAGAAACATCAGAAAGAGAAACAGAATATATGATATGCAAACTTATTTAGCTACAAAATATTACCCTTCTTCAAGACTTTCAAACTCAAGAGTGGCTTTATCTGTCTCTATCTCACATATCACATCGCCCACTTCTATCTGAGAAAAAAGCATACAATAAAAACATGCTGATTTGACTAGTTGATCTGAACTAGTCAGGAAATTAAAACCCTATATCTTAAGTTTACTTAATAAGTTATTCATAACACCAACCTTTTCCCCTTCCTTTTTTATCCACTTAGCAATGTTCCCCTGGTTCTGCATATGCACAAGCAAACCAGAAAATGAGCTCCTAAATAAATCAGCAAAATAAGCTCCACTTCGTTTGTCAATTCAAAGCCAACTACCAACCTCTCCTTACCATTGTGGGAGATAATGCTGGCATTCCAAGGACAACATGAGGAGGAAGTTCAGATGTGTTGATATTAACAGAACTTGTCTCCCGCACACCACCTTCAGAAGTTATGTTCTCATCAAAAACTTTTTCAGTTTTAGCTTCTGATCTTCCAGTGATGGAAGCTGGTATCTTCTGAACATCATCTAATTCCTCCACCTTGTAGCACAAACAAGCAAACGTAAGCAACACAAATAAATGTAACTGCAGAAGTTCTCATTATTTTTTATAAATGAGAAACTCATAGAGCAAGAATGTCAGTAACAGTGCCACAAGGAAAAGCTGACACCATGATTAAAAATAACTATCGACCAAATATCAACAACATTCCAAAAACATGATAAGGAACATATGTTCCATTTCTAAAACGACAAATGGAGAGCCTGGAATCTTAGAACTATAACAAAGCCGAGGTCAAACTATAATACAGAATTACTACATGAAAATAGATGCCTTACGAAAGTTCGTTAATGCCAAACCATTCTTCAACTTATAAAACCCTAGATACAAGTGTGACCTTTGTCGAGCAAAGATACAATCCTATAAGCTTCTTGATATTGCTAGTAAAACACAGGGGATACAGTCAAACAAGGACTTCCACAGTGGATTGCTTTATTTGTCTAAAAGTAATCAACGGCCTCAAATACTCAGCAAACTAATAACAAACCCCTAAACAAGTCTCACAAAAGAAATTAAGGTGCTTCAATTCAAAGCACTGATTATACATAACACGAGCTCAGTTAGTGTATTGGAAACTGTAAAGTTTCCTTAATTAGAACTTTAACAATTTCCCTGGGCACTCAGTTAAAAGTCCCAGAATAAAAAGAAGGATTGCAGCCAAAACAGGCATTGCATTATACTACGACATTAGACTGAACTAATGCAAAGTAAGATCCCAAAATCAGAAGATAAATAAATCGAACAATATTAAGAAATATAGAACCCAAGCAATTCTCTAGTGATTTAAAATGGAGTAAAGGATCAAGGTGAATCCTACCGTTATTGCAATAGGTTGTCCAACAGGAACATCCTTTGAACCATCAGGTACCAATACTTTAGCCAAAAATCTGCAGAATAGTACTTGCATGTGAGATGAGATCCGAAATTCACTAGGAAAGAAAATAAAGATGACCCGTAGGTACTATAACAAAGACTGTTGGGGCACAGCAAAAACGCCAAACTAAGGGACTGAATTTCTTTGCACACAACATTCCAGGTAACAGAAATAGCAGAGCAGTAGAATTACCCTTCTTCAAGACTTTCAAACTCCAAAGTTGCTTTGTCTGTCTCTATTTCACATAATACATCTCCCACTTCTATCTGTTAAAGAGAAAGATAAATCAGTAAAGTTAGCCCTAGCAAAAGAAAAGTCTTCTTCCATCAGAGTACGAAAGAGAAAAACTGCAGGTTACTGTTGTTTAACAGGTAATGCACACTATCTTCAAAACTGCCCCCTTTCTCGAACACTGACCTTATCTCCTTCTTTCTTCCTCCATTTTGCTATGTTCCCTTGGTTCTGTCCAAGCACAATGTACATAAATCATAGAGAAAGGAAATGGGAAAACACATATAATGGAAACTCCTCCAGAAATTCCAGACGAATATCTCACCATTGTAGGGGACAAGGCTGGCATCCCGAGAACGGTATGTGGAGGAACATCTGCAGAAATAAACAGTACCGGGTAAAGAAAATCAGGCTCTTTTAAGATGACAAGTTTAATGGTAACAAAATATTAGACTCTTCACTGCTACAGAAATTGCTAAGAGCAGAAATATTGATTCAACAAAGAAGCCTATATAGAATTGAAAAACTTCCAGAAGAAAATCCCATTTGTGTGTGTGTGTGTGTGTTTGGATCCAACCCTTCATTCAAATTGTTCATTTAGACTTTCCTCACATTTTCCTTGTTAAATTAGTATGATTCTTATTGGGAATTAGTGGTGTCTGGAAGACAAGAAAAATGTTTCAAATCCAGAATTCCTAGCCGAAATTGGTTGAGTGAATGTTGCCTTCACCTCTAAGACGTCAAAACATTGTCGATGGCATCACGCCTCTTTATAAAGAGAGACAAGTTAATGAGCATCAACCTTCACAGGTCAGGTTAGTCCAACCAAAAGAGATAAGGAACCTTTAGGGAACCTTTAGGTATAGTTTAAAATGTCACATTATTACCCAAATCCCAGAAAGTAATACCAAATTAGAAAGGGGAGCTGCATTTTAAACCATCCTAAAACTCATTATTGAATCTTATCATTCACAAGCCAATTCTATTGACAATTAAGAAAATGAGCTTTCTTATCTGACTCACAAGCCAATTGCAACACTAGTTTCACACTTGGGCTCTAAAGCCACACAACGTCTGATAAAGTGAAACAAGATACTAGAAAGAAGAAAACATGACCTTGCCACAACCTATCGTGAATACATCTTTCCTAACTCAATGTCATAGAAGCTTTAGCAAAGATCTATTTGCTTGTTCAGCAGCTCTAACAATGAACTTATTCAAGAAGTAAAAGAACTTTCTATAGTATATATAAATCCTAAACACACTCGCAACTATACATTATTAAAAGAGGATTATGTACCTGTGGATGAGAAGTATCGCACACCAACTTGCAGCTGCCCATTGAGAAAAATGTGAGAACTAGCTTATAACAAATTCCAGCACATTAGAATTTGCATACTTACCCGATTCTTCAAATAAGTATCATGAACCCCAGTGGTGGAGAAAGAAGAAGGCCTGACAATATTTCATTTTTATTGTGAGCAACTTATAGCATAGGGATTGAGATAATCAAGCATGAAACAAAAAAAAAAAATCTTCAGAAATGAAAGTGATGATTAGATAAAGTAGGAAAGGGGTCTAATCAGATAGTATGGCATCACTATCAAATGAAGTACCACAACAAGGAATGGACCCAAAGAACTTTGGTTTAAATCTCATTTTTGCATGTCTGTTCACAAAATTGTTCACAGATTCATGCATGGAATGCATATACATAGATTAGAAAAAGGGCAAAAAGATGTATTGAGACACTGTTGGATTAGTTTGACAGTCTAACATGGCTTCAGTTCAACTTATTCCTCTGTTGTAGACAATACCAGGCTTGAATTAATTCCAAGTTAAAACTCAATCAGAACGATCAAACCCTCATAAAACCAAACAGGACAGTTGAAAAGAAACATTCCACCACCTTCCCAAAGTAAATACTTTAAGGGCCAAAAATTAAGCATACAAAGGAGGAATGCATTGCACACAGACTTATTCCATAGAATGGGACATAAAAGCTGCAGACCATGATGTAGTAAAAGGATAACAGTATTCATTTGCGAGCAGGCAGCAATAGAAATGCAACAAATACAGACCTTAATGTTGCTTCATCTATCACAGAAGAGTTCCTCCTATTGCAAGAGCTGCATCAACAAGTTCAATTTAGTTTAAGGCACATGATCGTCGCAAAAGAATCCCACCCAACAAGCTAAACAAATTCATTAGAAATTTACCATCCTGGAGCTGCCTTATGAGGATTTAAAAAAAGAAACAAAAAAGTTGCAATTGTTAGATTATCCATTTATCACCCAAAAAAGCTTGAACCGGATATTCATGTACATAAGTACAGGAAACCAGATGAGAAATCATAACCATAACACTATCCAGACACACAAAAACCATCCGTGTAACATATCTCTACTCTCATCAATACCTAGGAATCAAAGAAATACAGCCTGAGAGAAAATGGAATGCAATTAACTGATGCATTTTCCTTTCATATCAAATAGATGAAATGGCATCCTCAGACTCTTCTGATACTATTTCAGCTTTGAGTTATTAGAGAATATAGTATAGAAAAGATAGAGCAAACCTCCACAAATCCTGCAATAAAGGAGCAAAGCCCTTACTTTAAAAAAGGAAAATTGTTTCCCCTGTGATCAATTTCTCAAAAAATTGGTGTTCAGGTACTCTAGTGTTAGATCGACTAAAGATTAATATACATAGAGGAACAAATCTGGTGTGGTGGTAAAGTACAGTCTGGAACAAGATGCAACAAGTTCTTGTGGTCTAAGAAGGACAGCATTTGTCACGATGTCTTCCATGATCCCTCATATCAAAACACGAAGAAAACCAGCAAACACAAAGCATTGGCTAGATATAACAACACAAGGAAAAGAATACAATTAAAAATACAAAAGCAAGGTATTGCCATCATCCAAGACACAAGTTAAAAATCACCTAACCACCCTCAACGCTCGACCACCGCCACGTAAAAACAGTATTAAACTAACCCACTTAATCCACAGTTTAATCAACCTTCCCCATAATTTAGGATCCGTTTGTTTCGCAGAATGAATGATTTGAAAAACATTTTCTTGAAAATGATCGCTTGTATCGCTTACAAAAATAAATAAACGAAAAACATTTTCATCATCCATGAAAATATTTAGGCATAAATTATTGTTAACAATGAAAATATCTTTCGTAGACTAATTATCAGCACGATAAGAGATTAATTTAAAAAAAACGTTTTTCAAATCATTCATTTTCCACGAAACAAACGAGCATTAATAATCCTTTCGAGTCTCATCTACACCCGAATGGGCGCCGAATCCGAATCGTCGCTCGATTCAACGAGCACCCACAAAATGCAGAGAGGAAACAAGCTCTCTCCCAAATATCCTCAATGCGCAGCAGAGAATTGTTTCCCTTTCCCATACGTAAGTTCGAGAAGCCCACCCGCACGCCATGAACCGTTCGTTCCGATTCACGAAGCTACAAGCGGCATTGCAAACGAAAAACAAAAACAAAAACACAAACAAAATCCATGTACTTCCTATCCGTAAAACTAGTGCGGCGTCGCGCGATGGCTCGATCAGATTAAGATCCGCGAGATTACCGGGAGGCGCGTCGAGAGGAGGACACGGCGGCGGCGGCGGCGGCGGAGAGCGAGCGGGCTCGGAAGAGAAGAGGCGCGCGCGAGATCACCGGGCTCCGGAGCCGAGAGAGAGCCATGTGCGTAACTGCTCCGCTTCTCCGCTTCTTCTTCTTCTTCTTCTTCTTCTTCGTCCTCCTCCGACGACGACCGCCGACGAAGCGAGAGATATGGTGGTTTGACCGACGGTCGTGGTTTCTCGTGTTTTCGCCTGAGATCAAGCGTGGCGAGCTAACGGGGAAGTTCGTTCTTGAGCCACCTTCCCCCTTCGTCGCTGCAATAATAATATTAAATTTAACAGGAACGAATTCCTTCCCCATTTTTATATATAGGGGGGGCACTTTTCTTGACCAAAAATAAAAATAATATCATTAAATGATTAAGCAGAAATGTATTTTTTTAAAAACAGAAATTAAGAAAATAGCTTTTTCGCGTAATTTTAATATAGGTGAAGGGAATTACATAACGAGTTTAAGGCTCTGTCTGTTTCGCGGAAGATGTGACGTGTTTAGAAAATATTTTTCAAAAAGCCACTCTTCAAGAAAAACCGACACAAATTTTCGGTGTTCGACTGAAATCCGAAAAAAAATCCGGAAAAATTTTACGCTGTTTGGTATGAAAAATCCGATTTGATTTTTTTTTTAAATTGATTTTTTAATTATCTTTTTTCTTTTTATTTTTTTCTCTTTTCTTTCTTTTCTTTTTACCTTCTTCTCCGGCAGGTAGCCAGCCATAGGCAAGCTTGAGCGTTGCTAGATCGACGAGGCTCAAGGCCTGACCAAAGGTAGGTGAGCCGCCTCGCAAAGCTCAAGGCCTCGAGCTCACCAGGCAGCGGCGAGCTCACTCGCCGACCAATGATAAGGCCTGAGCGTCGCCGATCTGCAAAGCTCGAGCTCACTTATGGCCAGTCATCGGCCTTCACCATGGCCAACGACCGGCCGAAGAAGAAGGAAAAAGAAAACCAAAAATAAGCAAAATAAAAAATATTTTAAAATTATATTTTAAAAAATAAAAGAAATAATTAAAATGAATAGCAAAAGAATGAAAAGAATTTCCTCACTTTTAAAGGTGTTTTTTCATTGATGGAAAATATTTTCCTTGACTAATTTATTTTCCGTGAACTGAACGTCGGGTAATCCAAAAAACAATTTCTGGAGCCTGAAAAAAGACATATCTTGAATTCCAAAAAGGTAGTCAAGCAGTAAAATGGTTCAGATTTTGCACTTCACAAAATGTGAGGTTTCGTGTTTGATTCATGCTTAGCATACTTATAACAAATTTCTTTATCACCGTCCGCCCAACACTGATGTGGCGATTTTTAAACATTTTTATAATTTTTTTCGAATTTTTATATTTTTTCTTTCTTTTTCTTTTTTTTTTCTGCCCTTCTTCCCTATGGTAGACGAGAAAAAAAATAATTTGACAAACAATAAAATATTTAAAAATTGCCACGTCAGCATCGGTCGAACGGCCAGCACTGGCTAGCATCCACGTCAATGCCATCCGGCCAAAATTGGCAGAATGGATTGAATTGGTACAAATGCAAAAGTAGGTTTATGACTTTTTGGATAATTTTTTACCAATTTGACAAGTTTTAGAACTTGATTGCACTTTTTGAAAGTTGTAGGACCCAACTGCACTTTTGTGATAAGTTTTATGACTTAGTTATACTTTTTAAAAGTTTTAGAACTCAATTACACTTTGATAGTAAATTTTAGAACTTCCTACATTCCAAGTAATTAGTAATAGATGAAGCAACTTTTTTCATGGTGATTGTAACTTTTCCTTATCAAAGTAAACGAGTAGGTTTCAATAAGTAGAACTTTTTTCATGTAAGAAATAACATTTTATTATAATTAATAATTGTCCGTTCAGAAAACTAAGTAATTATTCCCGCAACATATGGTGAAACTTTTTATGTTTGAAAACCTATGAGTAACTGATAATTTCTCTATTCTCTTAGTAACCTTGCCCTAGAAAAAGTAGTTCCCAACCTATTAGTAACTTTTCAAAGCATATATCAATTTCCTCATAAAAAAAAAGAAGAATTTTGATGCGGGTAATAACTCATACATGCTACTAGTGAGGTTTCTTATTTAAAAAAAGAAAGTAGCTCTTTGATTATTTATGAAAAGTAGCAATGATATGTGATTAATAACATTTTTTTTATAATGTGAACTAACTTAATTTTGGTAATTAGCGATTTTTTACACAACTATAGCAACTTCTTTTTTGGCGATTTAGTAAGCATCGACTATAGTTGGAAGCTCGCATCGAGAATTTCATCCATTTTTTTACCCCGCGACGTGGTAAAATTGCACTAATGATGAAATGTAGTGAATATGGATTGAGATTTTTACAGAAATTAAGGATAAAAAAAATCAAGAAAAATCTTGTAAAGAAGAAGAGCTGAGAAATGTTAAAATTAACAAAATATATAAACAAAGGAGAAAGTGATATTACTATATAATTTTGCAAAGCTTGGGTGCTCTGAGCTGTGCAACGTTGACTTCTATCCGATGAGAATGAGAGACCAAGTTGGACCGGTAAAGTGTCTGCAGAGAATTTGTGTCTGTCTTGCTTTTTTTTGCAATAAATTGATGCTGAGTGTTCTTACAAGTTACAACAAAATTATAAAAGAGAAACCCCCCTTAGAATCCCTACAACCATTTTCCATTTTACAAACAAGCTTGGAATTACATCAAACAATTTATAAAATAAAAAGGGGAAAAAAGGGAAAAGGGGGGAAAAAAAGAAAAAAAAAAGATAGAAAATTGGTCCTGCCATTTGCATCAGTTACCAGCAGAATTTGGGAAGGAGATTTTAAGGGGGGATACACTGTGCACCTAAATTCTGAATCCCGAACTTCGAATTTCGCTTGTCTGTCGTGTAAAAAATTTCTTGGGGGTTGATTGCTTCGAGTACCCCCCCTTTGCGCCTCTACAGTATCGGAACATCCGAAAGTGTTGGAGTCTCACCTACTTTGAAGACCCTCAATCGCCTTTTTCCATTGCCACGCTCTCTGTTTCGTATCCTCGAATGACATTACCTTCTTTGGCTGTAACAGCAGCAAATCGAATCAGGCAAACGAACAGCTAATTAAAGAGATGGAAGAGCGTCAACCAATCATAGTATGCCGGGTAGAGAAAAATAATGCACGAATGTGCTATGCCTGTAATTAGTCTTGGGAATAAAGCAAGAAATGTTGCCAACAGTCCTCATCTTATGTTACGATGCATAGACAATGCCTCACAGTTTTCTAATACACTAAGCATCCCAATCAGAGCTGTCAGATTCACTTATTCTTGTATCACAAAATTACTAAGATAGAAAAAAAAAAAAAAAAAAAAAACATCAGTTGGCCATTTTTTGAGGTCAAATTGATTGGATGGTTGATGTCGATGAAGATTAGTACTTATATGGCTATGCAATTGAAACCCAAACATATTCTGCAGCTAAATGTCCCAGCAGAACTCGAGAGTACATTATAATTTTATCAGCAAAATAGTTTGCACAGAGAATTTGACCGAGAAAACTCAGCTCAAAATATAACAGAGAAAAGAGATGTACCGTGCAGATTTTGAAGCTTGAAGGACTTGCGACTTGGACACTGAGGTCGTTAGGATTGTCGGACCAGATAATATTTCCTTTCACAACTAGTTTTGCCGGGTCCACGTAAATTAATTTGGGCTTATTAGTAAGAATAAGCTGAACCTTCTTGTTTGTCAGCTTCCTTATTTTCTTCACCGTCGAGATCATGAGGACGGATTCCCCGGGATCCAGAAATTGTTGCCTGTCATGTTAAGGTTGTCAGATTGCCCAAGAATCATAGAAACCATGCTAACTAATAGTAGCCCAAAGCCACACAAAAATGACAACTCAAACAACTTTCTGCTTGAAAAAATTCTAGCAACGCAACAAATTAAAAACTTAAATGGAAGCCAAAATCCAAAATATGGGCAGAATAGGAGACTGATAAGAATATGCCATCAGCCGTTGAGTTAAGTCCAACAGTGTCATTTCCTAAGACGGCATCACCTCTAAAGTCGAAATGTGTGTATAGAATAAGTAGATTAATATACATACACTCAACCAAGCATCAAGTAATTTCCATCTTTCACGCACTAGAGAACACTAAGCACCATCTAACCACAAAATTGAGCAACAAGAATAACCTGAATTCTGATAGACCGTCTTAATATCAATTTCAAACGAACAAGAAGTCCTGACACTCTTTAGATAAGGATGGGATGCCAATTGTCATATACAACCCTTTTTTACTTGCATATTGAACTATTTACACCGTGCATCTTACCGCTTTTCCCATATCCCTCACCAAAGAAACTAAAGAACCAAAACAACAAGCTAATTTTATTTTTCATTTGTAACAGACAGAAATAATGACCAATGTAGACAAATTTCAAGCAGATGAAGTGATACCATTTAGAATCAAAGGAGTCGATGGAAGCGAGCCTAGTTATATGAGCAGATGATTCGGAAGATGATGCAGGACCGCTATTTCCTTCAACTTGCCTCAATGCACCATCCCCAATGTGAGTAGGGTTCCATGAAGATTCCTGAGAATCATCAGCATCCCCTGAATGAACCTACAAAAAGATGTTCCATTAAAATGATATCCCAAATGTTTGGATGTCCATATGCTTCAAAACCAAATAAATTGTACCACTTGCTCCAAAGCTAGTTTTGGTGGCATTTGCTTTCTTAAATTTTTCCAGTCAATTCCTGTAAAGAACGGGTGCATTTTGAGTGCGTTGTAACCATCAGGTCCAGCGCCTGGCCTTCGGGTAGGTTCAATGTCCTGCACACAATTACTTGGGCATTTATAAACTACACTTGCCACGCTCTGTAAAGCAACATGAGGTGCATATAGGATAGTCCGTGGTATACTTGACGGGGGCAATCACTTTCACCGAGAAAGATGATCTCTTTTTTCATAAAAAGAGACCGATTGACCTATAATTTTTTTATTTTTGACCCCATTGAACTACAAAATTCATAATTAAACTGAGACGTTTTGTGTGGCAGTCTCAAAAGCACAAATTGCAACAAAAATAAGGTTCCAAAATTCAGTCCTCCTACATACAAATTTACATATTTCAAAAATCTCATACATATCATAGTACGATGCTTCATATACTTCTACCTCCCTATATAAGTAATCAAATTAACTGTATGTGTAATTGCACCCATTTACACGTAATAACTCATGCTCCCTCAAAATAAATCAGTAGGAAATTCCAGAGTGACAACTACAAGTTGG